TTTCTTCGTTTCAACATTTTTATTTTTCGCTTTGCATAATTATTTTATATTGTGTGTTATATAATTTTGTATTTTTTTTTTTTAATCGCGTCTCTTCTGCACAACGTATAAGTATTTCGTAATTGAACACGGTAATTGTATTGTACGTATTATAATTATACAAAACCAATTTAAAAAATTAGCTTTTTTTAACAACAGCTTTTTTGTAGAAAGATATTCCGTATTAAATTCTGTTATACCTTTGAAACCAAAATATTTAAAAATTATTTACAGAATTACAATTCTCAGCCATATTATTTTCAGAAATATTTTGCAATGCAAAATTAAAAATCTCATATAAATGACAATTGGTTAAATATTATAAAATTACAATTATTGATATTATTATTCCATTGATGTATGTCATTATTTTGTTTTTTCTTTTTCCAATATTACCGATTATAAATAAAGATCTCTCTTATATCATACTGCACATTGAAGTAACCGAACATGGTACCTTTGATTCCTTCGGTAATGAATCGCTCTATATAGAATGCCCATTTCCGAAAAATTTGCTTGGAGATATTAGTTTCACTCGTCACCAATGTAACTGCGTATGTAGCATCTGTAACTGCCCGACAATTCATCGCGATTACAATCGACCGCTGATCGTTGCGCGCTTCGATATTTGGAAGCCGCGACGAATTGACGACCTACCCTATTTTTGAATCAATTGATCGCTATGTGGGAATGTAGATTTCATGAAAAGCCATTCGCGGTGTAGGTCATTCGATGAAATCAAATGTCGAGCTCACCAGATTCGTTTTACCCCCAGCATATTCGTGCTGTATACAAAGAGAGAGAGAGAGAGAGAGAGAGAGAGAGAAGGAGAGACAGAGGAAGAGATAGCCCGAGAATGTAAAAAACTGCAATCCGAGAAAATTGAATGATCGCGTCGGAATAGATTAATTCCCCTCGGGGGTCGATTTTGCGGAACTGAGGCATTTTATTACAGCTCAGTTCTTGATCTGAGAGAGGGGGGAGAAGGAAAGAGAGGAAGGAGGGAAGGAAGCAAGAGAGAGATAATGAGTTGACCTAATAACCCGGAAAACCGTAAGCGAGATTATTTCTGTGTTCAATGACTGAGCTGTTAATCCGCGCCTCTTCCAGTTTTAATCAATTTTTATCGCGCAACAACACCGATTAAAAAAAAATCTAATCGAAATCAGCGGTCTGGACTTAATCATTTAAAGTAGCTTCAATGCTTTGTTTTCAGATAAACCTGATGACGATTTGTTAGTCATGGAAGAAACTAAAATATATTTTGATAAATATTATTGAATGCTTTTAAAAAGAGATTAGAAAACGATGACTTTAAAGTATTATAATAAGAAGACTTGCTACACATTTAATAATAGTTAATTTTAAATTTTTCAATATTTACATTAATTTATACTACAATATATATTAATTTATATTATATTTAAAAATAAATTAATTCTTGCATGGTATTTAAAACCTGTCATCTTCGATGTATGACGTGCCTATTATTATTTATATATGTAACACAAGTCGCGACTTTGTCATTTGCGCGAGGAGATTCGAACGGGAAGGAATAAACCGCTCTGTGTGTCGTATATTCTCTTTCGATTATTTTCTATAATTATTATAATCACAGTTTATCAATTCGCGCAATTAATTAATTTTCGTGATTATTAGGTCTTCATTGACTCGTACAATATTGCACAGTATTAGTATAAAATTGTATAAAATTTCGTTGACAGTATTAAAGTGCCGCACGATTATCAAATTCTAATAATGTGTGTATGCGATTGTAATTTACAATATTATTGCGAGTGATATGAAGAAATAGCAAAAAAATAAAGAACAGATAAGGAATAGGCTTGGAAAAACCAGCAGAGAAACTACAGGTAATTTATAATTTTGTTAATGTATTATTTGCTGTTTGTAAAATATTCAAATTGGTTTCCTCATAATAGTGATTCAGATTACATCGTAATATAATTAAAATACGTATAAAATAAAATATTTCTAGATTTTATTTTAAAATACTTATATATTTAAAACAATATTTTTAATTCTAAATTAAATCAAATTACACTAATTTAAAATTGAAATTAAAGTTAAATCAGATTCTATAATATTGTGTGTATATAAAATTTGTTATTCAAGATTCATAAATTTTTTTAGATATATATCTAGATATGTATCAATTAAATTAATTGTTTGTCAAATATATATTTTATTCTCGAATTTATTATATATTTCTCTGTCTCTCACGAAATAGATTGAAAAAGAAATCAAAAATTTCTTTCACGAGCGCAATTAAATGCAATATTGGCATTAAGGACGGAAACTCTGTTGTTACTCGTAATTTGTAAGATATTTCCCACGATTAGACGAAACTTTGTAAAGTTTGGCGCGCGCGTGACACCTGCCGCCGCGTAATCAACCTGCCGAGTTAACTAGGTTTCTCGTTCTCTTAGCCGTGGCGCGAACCTGCATATCCTTCCGCAACGGCGACCGCAACGCGACACGGTTCTGCCGCGTATTGTCTCAATCTACGGGGTTATCCCGGGGCACCGTCTAAATTCATGCTCGATCGACCAATGAAAACGTCGACATGTGCCTTCATGTACGGACGTAAGTGAGGACCGCACGAATGCCTTCGTGGAAGTTGACGTTACTTTACGAGTTACGTTCAGTAATCGAGATTTCACTAAGAGACGTTAGAAAGTTATAAGCCAGCTGAGACCCCGCATTGTTTGGCGTAAGATACGAAAATTTGATGAGCGTTCGTTAATTACACGACGTGAAAATTCAAAGATGTGTTTACAAAGACCGTTGAATTTTATAGAATACGATCGATATTACATAGAATACAGTCGGTATATAATCCTAAAGCTCTTTCGCGGTATAATTATGTTTTACAAAAAATAACGCAATGAAACAGTGGAATCATTTGTTCGAAATGAACTTGGAAGAAACATATAGTCATGACGTATATTAATGCTAGCACAATAGGTGCAATGTATAACGATATTTTAAAAAATAACATATAGATAAAGAAATATACCCACATGTGTCTGTTAGAAAAGATGGTAATGGTCTATTCAGTTATATATCATGATACATTGTGCCAGAGAAAGGCACTTTTTCACTCGTAAAAATAATCAAACAAAATAATTGCCCTATTTCTTTGTAATATAATTAAGTACTATTCTATGAAAATAATTTCTCTCTAATAATTTACTTTTTTACTTTTCTTCATTTTTGACTATAGATACATTTTAATATTTAACAGTTTCATTTTATTTTTGGCATATTTTGATTAGACGACTTTGAAGATAAAATAAGAATAAAAACGTAAGTAGACTGAACTAAAAGACACGAGGGTTGAAATGAGAACGGAATTGGAAAGAGCCCGGTATAAAAGGGGAATAAGAAGAATTCTCGCGGACGACTTTTCTCACTCACAGATTATCAATTATACGCGCCGCTTTACCCTTTGAAACCTATTTTATTGCGCGTACGACTATCACGTGTCGTGAATAATATCTACCTTTAAGCTTACTAATTATGGCACAGCGATACAACGCCCGCATAATGAAACATGCATTACAGTACGTGTAACGTTAATTACGCGGGACGAACAAGCGCAGGAATGCAATGCAATTCCGTGCTCTACATGTGTTGTGTATTCTACTCTCGAGACGATATATTTAGACATAAACGCGATATGTAAATAAATAACACGCTACATTTCCGCGAACCGTCGGACACACATCGAGGATATATACGGTTTATCCGCGTTACAATGATGCGGTTATCGAGAAATTTACAGAGAATTTAATTATTGGAAACTTCATCGAATAAGATAAGAGTTTTATTGCTATCGAGTTTCATTCAGGCAGAGATTAGCTATCTTAAAAACACAATTAATATATAAATTATGTATATACATATATTGTCTCTCTTTTTCTCTCCCTCTCTCTTTCGTTTGTACGTACATTAATTAAATATGTCAGATACACCATAAATAGAGAAATATAAATAAAGTTATCAAATATATTTTCTCAAGGTGATGAAGGTGATATGATACTCAAACGTACGGTATGTTCAGCAATAACAGTAGGAAGGCAACAACAGCAAGAGCAACAAGTGCGCCAGTCGTAATTACCTTCCATTTCGCTTCACGAACTGTTACCTCGCAACAAATAGACATTTCATGAAAACGACCAAATAGATTGTCAAATTTATAATAATAATACAGCTCCAAAAAGAGATGCATTTCATAAAATCTTTAAATTGTTTATCTCATTATGCGTGTTACATTAAGATTAAACATATCTTGGCTGTCGTAAACATACATATATTAATGCGTCGCGCGCGCGTATAAAGATTATTTTACAAAATATACTCTCAAATTAGTAAAAGTATGAAAATGTTGATACGAAACGATAGTGATAAATTATGAATACAAATACAGAGATTTACGTGCACAATTGTATGAAAGAGCAAGATAAACACGACAGTTTGATAAACAACCGATTCTTCTCGCTCCGACGATTGATATAAAATCTCAATCAATCCGATCAAATTGAACGGCGTCGAAAATACATAATCATTCTGACATATCCTGCTGTGACAGAATTCTGAAAAAAAAGAAATTCAATTGCGACGAAAGTCAGCGCGCATTAAATGCATTCGTACATATTTAACACGATGATAGTCGAATCGACGGAGACATCGATGAGAAGTAAAGTTCGGGAGGAAGCGCGAGAAGGAAGGTAGCCCTCAGCAACCCCACCGGTGGCAATCACCTCTCGGTGGTGGATGTATCTCCGCGAGCGCGGCAGAAGCGGCGACGGCGTCGGTGGCGACAGCAACCCCCCGAAAGCGCTGAACGTGGCGCATGCCCATCCGGGGAATCGAACCCGCGGAGGCACAACGTCACCGGCGAACCGTCCGCCGGGTTCCCTCAGTACGTTTGGCGAACAGTTCGCGAACGGACGTATTATTCCTCCTCCTCGTGGGCTCTGGAGAACGCACTCGTCCTGAGCGTAAACACGAGCGACAGCAGAGAGATAGATAGAGATAGAGAGAGAGAGAGGGAGATAAAACGTGGGTGGTCTCGAGTTTTTCCCCAACGCGAATGCGAGGACCCCCCACGAATTTGCACGCGGCACGAACCACCTGTTCTCTCGTAGAGCATTTTCTTCCGCGTCGATCCTGGGGCGAGAACGCCACGGGGAGAAAATCCTTGGGGGTTGACGCGCGACACACAACCTGCGAGTGCATGCATTGACCTCGTCGTCGACGGCTCACACGTCGCCGGCTCGCACCATCAAGGTCGCCTCGCGATCAATGAACGTGGCGCTCGCCGCCACGTGACCGGACGGGACAGCGAAGACACACGCATCCCGGTCGAGGAATGCTCGTAGAATCTCGTTTCAGGATTCGGCTCGTCTCGACGCGTCGTGAATTGTTTCCGTGAAAAATTTCCGAACTGTCGTGGCCGATATAAACGGGTCAATATAGCAGCCCTGGACGTCGTCTTCGGGGCGAGCGAAATCTGACGATTAACTATCTTCCCTTCTGGCGCGTCTGAGATTTTTCTACGTTTTTTCAAATCGAAGCCTCTCATGAAAGACAGTTTCCTTCTCTTGACACGTGACTGCGGCGTGTTCGGGCACGAGATTAGAACGAGGAACCGATAAGTCTTTCCGCAAGAGCTCGTCGATTTTTAATTAATGGACACTAATTGTGCGAAAATATAGAGATGTCAAATCGTCCTCGTTCCGCGCTTTGTGTTGTGCGGATCCTTTGATACATTTTCCGACTGTTAAAGAGTTCGTACGTGAAAAAGGGGGAAGACGGCAGTGGAAGGACGACTGTGACGTGCAGTGCAATCTGTGTAAAGTAGACTCCGGGGACAGTGGGAAGGCAGTTGGAACGTGACGTGACGAGAGAGTTATAGAGACCGAAAGAGTACGGACGCGGAAAAAAGAACTGTGGGAGAAAAGACCCTGGTTAAGCCTCCGAAGTGGGAATTGTCGCGTCAGACACGTGAGACTGGTGAGTCTTTAGTTTCAACATTATTTTGTTAGAAGCGTACCTATAAGAAACGCACGTTGTAAAGCAAATGTTTAATGTTTGATCGAGGAAACGGGAGACCCATTTTGAGTAAAGTAGCGACAGTTATGTTTATTGTTTACAATCATCTCCGAATGAGCAACAAGTGTTGCTGGCATTATGTCAGACAATCTATTCTTGATACCAGACTATAAATAGTTCCTCGCCAGACGCGCATCTCGAGCTATTATTTTTTTCATCAGAAAAAAAGAGAAACTTTTCAACGTCTGTATTAATTCGCATAACTGTCGTATTACAAAGTAGTTTGCGGGAATAATTTTTATCAATTTTTATGTAATAATTTATATTACAAAATTTATCTCTCATTTTTCCATTTATCCGTAAAATAATAGTAATACGAACAATAATTTTGGAGCGCACGTACATACATATGTAAATATAATTTAAAATTGTTACATTCCGCTGTGAAAAAGGTAGTGTGATTTATCTCCTCTAATTTGGTTAGTTCTAATTAGTAGCGCTTAAAAGCCTTGGACGATGATAATTACGGTTAAATATACAGCAGACGTTTAGCGAATATCCAGCTCTCGTGGACACCGTTAGTTCGAACGCGCATTTTAAAATAGTACACGAAGTAAAAAACGAAGAAGAGAGCGGAGAGAAAAAATGAGGAGAGGAGAAGCGGAAAGAGAGTAGAGTACGACAAAAAGAGGATCCGCCGTACGAACATGAGTGACGTTAAGCTGACGTGAGTGGAAGGGCCGGCCGAAGTCGTGGGTGGCCCATAAGAGAGCGGAAAAAGGATAGAAAAGACAGTTGACAAAGCAGAAGTATGGCAGACGGAAGGACGTAGCAAAGTGGCGAGACCGGATAGAGTAGAAAAAAGTAGAAAGATCTCGTTGCAGTCTCTCTCCCGCTCTTTCTCATCCTCTCTCGCTCTCTCTTGGACGAGACCCTCCGGAGCAGACGCCGATTCGATTAATATGCGCGACGATATAATTCGATGGTTACAAATTCAAACGGCGCGTTTGCGCGAATATGCGTTAACTTCGCCGAATCATGAATTCAGATGTTGACTATTCAACCGCGAACTCGGTTGATTTATGTACGCGCCGATCAATCGCCAAAGTTTGCATTTCCCTCGCAATTCACGCTTACGAAAAATATATGTATGCGCATATTTTCAGAGTATCTCGAAGGAACAATTAGTAATATTGAGACTGTTTCCTCTTTTTTACATATATGTATATAAGTTTTAAATTAATTAATTTGATAAAACGTACTAATTTCATAGTCGTTATTTCGCGTGTAAAACTCATGTCGCCACCAATGGAATTTATAATTAGCAAAATTTTGTCTTTTAGATTAATGTGTAGTTAATCGCATTACAGTCCTTTGAGATGAATGGGAAGCAAAAAATAGCTTACAACAAAATTAATTAGATCTTTTGCGGCGCAGACAATTAATTTACTTTTGCGACGCGCAAACTTTTTCCCACATCACGTAGACAGAAAATTCGCCGCAGTCGCACGCGACGTTAGTTTTTTGGGCAAACTTAGTTAACTAAGTAGCTAGAGAGAAAGACATAGAGAGATAGAGAGAGGGTCGCGCATAAATGAACGCGTTACACGGGGATAAAAACTCGTCCTCCGATTGAGGCCTATGAAGGCTGTGCGTCACGCGACGGCTTGTTAGGCAAACATCACGCAAATAAATTTCGACGGATACAAAAAAAGGGTTGAGGATCGTCACGATGATTACGCGTCGCCTGGGAGCAACCCGGAAAAGAGAGAGAGAGAGAGAGAGAGAACTCGCGTAATTCAACGCGTCGAAAGTTAGTCATCATTAATTCCCTCGTTTCGCTTAATTAATATCGAGCTGCAGCGCTTTCGTCGAAAACTCGATATATACGAGATTATTTCAATCAGTTCTACGGTAGGTATATATGTATACATATATTGTATATATGGATATATATATATATATATATATAAACTTACGATTTCATTTCGCAGAGATATCGGAAATGTTTATTAATTCAGTTACGCTCTGTCTGATTAATTACGCGAGCTTACTACTGAAAAGTAAATAGAAAGTAAAGGTAAGTCGAAGAGCTGCGTTACGTTATAAAGTAAGGAGAGCTCGGATAAAAGCTCGCTATACGTGTCACGCGAGTAGACTTTTTTCTGTGCGGTTGCTTATCGCACGTTGGAATGAAGTTGGAAAAAGTATACTTTTTCTTTTTCGGGCTAGAAGAGTTTTGCTTTAACTTTTTGAATTGGCCGGCTGGAAATGGCAGCAATATCATCTTTGCAACGTTGTTGTCAACCCGCATCTTTTTTTTTTTTTTTTGGTTCCTTGTACAGTATAACGTCTATTGAAATTGTGTCGCCGTAATATACCTGTGTACCATATCCGCTTCTTCGTGGAGAGAGAATCGCGAACTGATTGTCGGAATTAATTAATTGGGTCTGCAGTGCACATTTATATTTCGCACAAAAATGCAATTTAAATGGAAATTCCGCGTGACCTCGATTGAATTTTCAATATAACGTAACATTTGTTATCGAAACTATATATGCGTCTAACATATCGCTCGTGTTTCCGATAACGTTTTCATCCGACGCAATCTACAAATATATATATATTCTGAGAAAAATTCGAATTTAATCAGCGTTTTCCTTCCAACTTTTGACAAACATGCGTTTGTGCGTACCGCAAACGAGAGGAATACAAGGAAGAGAAAAACGGATAATACAGTCCGAAATATTGAATGGCAGCCGGTAAACCCCATCGAGTAGGAAAGGGCTTATTCTCGATTGGACAAATTGCCGCCAATCATAAATAATTGACAGACAATCGCGAGGGATTTAGATTTACTGCCTCGGCGCACGTATGTACGTATTTATGTGCGTAGGTATGCGTCTATACGTATGCTCATAACTTCGATACTGATTTGTACCAACTCTAAACCTTAATTTAGAGTGCGTTGGTCCACATTTGTATAACCGCGTGTGAGCAATACACGAGGGAGACCAACGCGCCGTTGCGCTCCATATATTCCATAAACGTTATATTCTCATCAGAAATACGTTTAGTTGTAAAATACTTGGCGTGCACGAGAAAGAGGAGAGCGGAGCATTAATATATGTTATAATGTGCTCACTTCCAGCGGATTTGTGTAAAGTGCCTCATTGTGCACCGGGAATTGTATATATCAAATATTATAGCTTTATAAAATTTATGATAAAGTGTGATTCGTGATTGTAAGCAGATTGCTCGGAATTGACAACTTGCTTACAACCGAGAGTTCTTTATTTTCTAAACGCTGTCTGATAAATCCAGGGTTCCTCAAAGTATTATTTTATGATGTTAGCTTTGACATTTATAATGCTGATTAATTGGTTTTATATGTATTTAACCGACTGTAAACTAATTAATATATATATAATATTTTTTATATTACACATGCATACTGATGTAAAAACTAATTAAAATTTATAATGATAGAGCGAATCTTTGGAACAGATTGATAATTGAGGTGGACAAAGAAAAATCAAATATGAAACAATTGATATTATTCATATTATTGCCCTTTCTCAATATTGTCATATTGCTTGTACATATTATGTAATTGTAATATTGAAGTTGAGATAAAATGTTAAAAATAGCAAAAAGGGAATAACTAAAAAGATATTTGTAAGTATCGGTAATAGTGTTGAATTCCATGTTCTAAGAATATTGGAAAATTAAGTTTATTAAACATGTTCTTTACTTTAAATAATCCAATTAATTATTGATAAAAAAGTTCTAAAGAGTCTTTACGTCTGGAAAATGAAAAATGACATAAATTTGAATAGAGATACATACATAAAAAAAAAAGTATAAAGCAAAACGGCGCATTATTTTATGTAAGATATTAAAGTGATTTACGATTCTCGAGCAAATACATTTGCATTTTATCTTCCATGATTTTCTTAAGATGTATTAATTGCTCCTTTCTGGAATTACTCTATCATTAATAAAACATTGGCTAGCGCTGTCGTCGAGAGACTTCGCGAAGATAAATTAAACCCTTTTCCCGCCAAAAGGAGTACATAATTATTTACGGTTGTTATTTACGGATTTCTTTCCGGAAGCCACTGACGTGCAGCTTGCGTGTAGCTCGGGAATTTGTACGGATCGCGCGTGATTCGAGGAACAGACGTCACTGCCGTATATCGAGATGGCGAATACCAAGGGGTAGATGTACCGGATTGCAGGGGGTAGGTAGAGCATGCCTTCCGTGCGATCAGATACCGAAGATTACAAACGAAATACCACCGAGCTACTTTTGTTTTCGGAATTCCGTCGTAAAAACGCCGTCCAGCAAGCAGAACTCGAATTGGTCGCGTGCGCATGTGTGTACACGTACGCGTATCTTCCGTAATTTCTCAGATAACAAATAGATTACAATCTATGTAATATGTGCAGAGAGTTGAAAGTTTACGCAAACCCCTTTTTCCCAACATAGCACACCCTTATAAGAGCGGAGAAACGAAACTAATTCCAAATATAGAGAACATAAAGATATGTGTACACGTATATCTGTCTCTCTGCGAGAGACCAGAAAGCGTGGAACATGAAAAAGATAAGGAGATAGACACGAAGGGCATGCAAGGGCATTTGGTTGGAGGAGAAGGAAGAGAGATATAGACGGACGGAGTACAATGAAGAGAAGATAAGTAAAGCTGTCCTGAAATGAGGTCGACATAATTGCACCCTCCCCATTCCACTACCAACCCCTTCCTCCTCCCAATCCGTCCTAGAAGCGGTCGCGACGGGGTTGAGGGTGGAGAACAGGGCCTCGTAAAGGGAGTTGGCCGTCGTCCATTGTCTCATACGGAGACTCGACGCTGATTAAATACTTGACACATCCCCGCGGTCGCTCCGATCCGGCATAACTTTGTTCGGATTGTAATTACGGGCTCGGATCGGTCTTC